ATGTTTTTGTGTTTTGTGTGTTTATGTTTGATTGAGAATTAATAAAACCTTGGAGGAATGTCAGATGAGAATAATTGTAAACAAGTCAGATGGAAATATAAATATGATGACTATAAAATAGATAAATATAGAAAAGAAATGTAATTGAATAAGAGTAAAGAGAAATAATGAGAAATTTGCTAAAATATATTTATGTGTCCATATGGAAATGGGATAAATTAGAATTATGCTGTATAAAATAATGTTTTATTTGCCCTGTTAAAATTTACAATGGAGAGGTTTTATGTTTTCAATGTTTAATGATGTTTTGTTTGTCTTTAAAACTAATAAAATTTGTTTCAAAGAAAAAAAGAAAAGCAGGCAGCATTGATTTTCTTGGATGCTCGGAAGGCCTTCGACAACCTCAGCTGGCAGTTCTTGATCCAATAGGTCGAAAATATGGGATTGGGATCTAAATTCAAGAAAATGATTGGCACAATTTATTCGAACCAAAAAGCTAGGGTAATTATAAATGGGGAGATAACTGAAAACTTTAAGATTATGAAAGGTGTTAGGCAGGGATGTCCAATGTCACCTCTGCTTTTTATCTTGACCATGGAAGTGCTTTTAAATCAGATTAGGCAAAGAAAGGAGATAATTGGACTGAAGAGCAAAAATGAAGAATATAAAGTACAGGCGTTTGCGGACAACTTAGTGTTTTTTGTGGAGGATCCAATGGAGTCAGGGACCTATCTAATTCAAGAATTAGAAGAATATGGGGCGGTAGCAGGACTAAAAATTAATAAAGATAAAACAAAAGTAATAACCAAAAATTTGATAGAAAGTCAAAAAAAGAATTGGAAAAGAAATTGGGATTACAAAGCATCAAAAAACTTAAATATTTAGGAATTTGGTTACCAGGAAGATGCTCTTCCATAAAAGAGGATAATTATATGAAATTATTTTTACAGATAAAGAAAGACCTGGACAATTGGGGAAAATTACAACTATCACTATTAGGCTGAATAGCGGCCATAAAAATGAACATACTACCAGACTTCCGGTTTGGGCTTCTTCAGCGACGGACCAAAATCCGCGATCGTGCACGGTTTTGATCCGTGCTCACCGCTGGAGCACCCCAAGCCGCTTGGATTCGGGGCTGAAGCCACCCCATAGAGGTGGTGAAGAAGGGGGAGACTGCCAGTGGGGTTGAAAAGAGCCACATCTCTCCTCCTCGGCTGGCCATTACTCCCTTTCCCAAAGGCGGTTGCAGCGGTGGTCAGAATTGACCACCTCAAAGAAGAACCTGACCAAACAAGATTGTGCAGGAGGAAGTTTAAAGGAGAAAGTTTGACTGACTGGGTTGAATGGAGAAAACATCTATTTAAGGTACTTGGAACTTGAATTACAAAGATTAATACTATTCCTAAAAAAGATCTTTAAAGCGGCAAAAGAGAAAGGAAAAGGAAAAAGATTTGCCTTTTTTTTTTCTCTCACATTGACTTTGAACATTAAGAAGAGATCTAAACAAGAAGTTGATATAAATCCACTTTGACATTAACAGGATATTTTTAGCTGAAAATAAAGTGTCAAAGGGATAAAGACTTGGATAAATTTCAAAAATTTAAAAAAAGAAGAAAACGGGGGGGGGGGGGGGAGGGGGGGGGAATCTGGAAAAATGGAGGAGACTACCTGGAAGTAAAAATAATTGATAGTGGAATTTTAACAAGACTTGTAAAGGATATATTGCAGCTGAAACTTTGTTACAAGATAAGAAATCCCCTGGAAAGAGAAAGTAAGAAAAGAAGCAAGAAACAACTTTGGATTATTGGATTCCTGGAATTTTGGATGGTGGATCCTAATGAAATGAAATAAAATCAATTGGGGGTTGTTTAAAAATCTTTAAAATGGCATCACTCCTTGAAGAGCTAAAAATGATACTTAAAGAACAAAAAGAAGAAGCACAAGAGGGAAGAGGATCTTTTGGCTTCGTATTTCAATCTTTAGAAATGGAGATTTTGAACTATGAAAAACAACAAGAAATGTTTGCAGAACAAGAAGGGCGGGACGAAGAAGAAGCCAAGCAAGGACCAAGCAATTTTAAGCAGGGTAAAAAAGGGAAAGAGGGGAAAAGGACTTAAAAACTTAAGACTTGAAGCAACAACCCAAAAAAATAGTAATTTGAAACGTAACTATAACATTAGGAAGAAGCAGAAGAGAGGATCACAGAAGGGAAAATCAGATAGAAAAGGGAACAAAAAGGGGAGGGAGAAGAAGAGGGGGAAGATGGAAAGGAAAAGAAGTTATAAAGGACAGAAACAAGTTATAGAGAAACAGGAAAAACGTACAAGAATTAAAGGTATAAGCTTATTTAAAAGACACAGACAATGGTTAAAAATTTAACTTAAAGAGAAGATTCTGCAAGGGTACATGAGATAGCATTGTTATACTAGAAATAGAAAAGAGTTAGAAAATATGATAGATTATTAAAGTGACAGATAACATTTGCATTGTTATGTAATGGAATATTTGTTAGTAATTAAATGAAACAAAGAGGATAAGAGAATAAGGCTCTCAATGATTTAAAAAAAAGGATATAATTGAAAAGAAACATGAAAGATTTTTAATGAAATTAATATCAGTTGACAGGATGAATTTGAATAAGAAGAATAATTTTATTGACTACTGTTAATAATTACTGTTTTGTTTTTTGTTTAAAGACAGTAATGAATAAAATATGAAATATAGGTGATTAAAGTGAATGACAACTGATATTATTAGGTAATGAAATGTTTGTTAAAAGATGGAAATGTTTTAAATAGAAATGTAAAAGATTGCTATCAATATTAATGGCCGAGCTGAACTCGAATAGAATAATTATTTCATTTACTATTGTTAAACATATACTGTATATATACGAACACACACACACACACACACACACACACACACACACACATATATATATACATTTTTTTTCAAGAACTTACTGTGTATTTTTAAGGGAATGTACCAAGCAGAATTCAGTTGATAATAGTTATGCGTTATAAAATAGAGGTTAGAAAATGAATGTTATAACAGTAAAGGCATAAATTAAACTTTAAACAAGATTTGAATGGATAATAATTAAAAGATACAAAGGTGTTATACTCCAGTCTAGTAACTACAGGGGAAATTTGTTTTATAAGAAAAGAAAATATGAAATTGTAAACAGGACAGACAAAAGTATAAAAATATTGATTAGAAAGATACTGAAAATTAGAAAAAGATATGTAATTGAACTTAGAAAGAAATGAGATAATTAAAAATAAGGTTACAGAAAGCAAGGAAAGGGAAAACTATTGAGAAAATTGCAAATAGTTATAAGATATGGATTAGAATACATAAGATGAATATGTAATTGAGTTTATGTCTGTATGGAGAAGTGATAACCCGGGAGCATGCTGTTCTCAGAAAAAGATATTTTATTTGTACTTGTATGTTTTGTGAAAACCCAAATAAAACTTTTTTTAAAAAATGAACATACTACTGAAACGATTATACTATTTTCAAACAATACCTATAAAATTGGATAAGAAATGTTTTCAGGAATTAGATAGGACAGTAATGAAATTTATATGGATGGGGGAAAAAAGTACAAATAAAATTGAAAACGATACAAGATAGTAGAACCAGAGGCGGCCTTGGACTCCCAAAATGGGAAATATATTATCAAGCAGCAATTTTACTATGGGTTAAGGAGTGGATAAATTTAAAAAATAAAAGAATTTTGGCAATAGGTCATGACCTCCAAACTGGGTGGCATGCCTTTCTATGGGATAAAAAGAATAAGACCCAGTCCTATTTCCATAGACATTTGATAAGGGACTCACTTTTACAAACATGGGAGAAAATAAAAAAGCATTATTTGAAAAGACCAAACTGGATCTCACCCATGGAAGTTATGTTATATCCAAATACAAGGGACATAAAAAAAAATGATTAGATATAAAGAATTGGTAGATGAACAGGGGGAATTAAAAACACTGGATAAACTAAAAGAACAAGGGATAACATTAGACTGGTGGGTATATTTGCAAATTCAAACTAAATTTAAGAAAGATGTAAAGGAGCTAGGAATAGATAAAGATTTACAAAAATTGGACCAAATATTGACAGGAAAGGATATAAAATTTATAACACGAACATATAATTACCTACTGGAGGTGGAATTAGAGGAGGAAATTGTTAAGGGACCAATGATTGCCTGAGCAAGAAATGTGGGTCATAATATAAATTTGGATGAGTGGCAAAAGACTTGAACCAAGAACTGGAAGCTGACTTTGTCGACAGCATTCAAAGAAAATCAATATAAAATGTTTTGTAGATGGCACTTAGTGCCGGCACGACCGGCGAAAATGTATCCAACCTTGAAACTGGAATGCTGGAAGTGCAAACAAAAGAAAGGAACGTTTTTCCATATGTGTTGGCAGTGTATAGAGGTCAAAAAATACTGGAAGAAAATATAGAGATGGCTTTTTGAGATTACAAAATATAAATTGAAATTGGAACCCGAAACTTTTTTATTAGGTATGATTGAAGGGAATTTGAATAAAGATAAAAGATACCTTATTGTACACATCTTAACTGCAGCAAGAATCACGTTAGCACAAAATTGGAAGAGTGATAAAATACCACCAGATGAAGTTCTGATTCAAAAAATAATGGACTGTGCTGAACTAGATAAATTTACTATGGAACTGAAAGGCAAAGAGGATCGAGAATACTATGCGACATGGGAAAGGTGGTACGAATGGGTGAAGGATAAGGATAAAAATAATGTATAGTCACAAAACAGGAAACATGTATATACAATGACACAATAACCGTTAATGGAAATGAGATTTTTGTATTTTTTGTTTTTTAAAGAATAATTTTTTTTAAAAAAAGAAATACAATAAAGCAAAGCCAGAACTGAGGTTCGCGTGCCAAAGGTAGTTTAACAATAAAGAAAAGCCAGATCTATGGTTCACGTGCCAAAGGTATAGTTTAACAGTAAAGCAAAGTCAGAACTGAGGTTCGTGTGCCAAAGGTATAGTTTAGTGAAGGTCAAGTGAAATATAGTAAAGCAAAGCCAGAACTGAGGTTCACGTGCCAAAGGTATAGCTTACTGAAGGTCAAGTGAAATACAATAAAGCAAAGCCAGAGCTAAAAAAAAATCAATGGAATAAAGGACGGGAAAGAGCAGGAGTGGGTGGGGAGGGCCAGCCAGATGTGGTATTTGCCGGTTCTCCGAAGTAGTCACAAAATT